ATACATGAGAGTGGTACATCAGAATAATCACCTGCATAACTGGAGGCACTACAGTTGAGGTAACAGCTTTGAAAAAAAAAGAATTTGGCATTGATACCATAAGAAAAACTGAAGATGAATCAACAGTGTTTAAGGTAGCAAGCACCAGCCCAGAAACAGGGACAGGATAKGTAGGTCAGATGAAGAAAATAATCATGCTGCTCCATGCTGTATCAACAATATATTTTCTGTGTTATTGTAGCTCATTTTGAGCAGTGTACTTGAAAGGAAAAAAAAAAGTGGATGAAGGGAYGAAGCACAATCTGGAGCATGGCAGAGCAATGGCAGAAAATGTYGCAAAAGGAAGGGGATATTTCTATCCTGAGATAGTAAAGACTGAGATGAGATATTGTAAAAAATACCTTCCTTTCCCAGAGGAAGGGAATATTCTGTTCTCTRTATTCAGCAGGGCTCAAATGCAAACAATATGCCTCAGCTGTAGCAAGGGAGAGTTAAATTAAGCATCTGGGAAAATGTTCAAAATTAAGATGCTCTGCAATAGGTTGCCTGGGACAACTGTAAAATCTCTATCACTGGAAATTCATTAGAAGCATGACAAAGTTCTCCATTTTCTTATCATCATGGGCTGTGGTTTGTGGATTCTAATTCTTGCTATTGCAGAGACCTATTACATGGCACCAAACAAGGACCAAATCTTCTGCAAATAGAGTGAAACCTTTCTGTAGTTTCAGATGCTCATGCACAGGGCCTTAAATCCTTAGGCATCCAAAGAAGGTAAAAGAGTGAAGGGTAGGGATGGAGTTTGGAACAAAGACGTTTAAATCCTGGCAGATTAAAGGGATTTTTTTTTTAGAGAGGCTAAAATATCACAACACTTGCTGTTTACCCTTTGCATCTCCGCTGCAATCTGAGGAGGTGTAAGCTCTGTTTGACACCTTCTCAGCTGATGGGGCATTCAGAGCATCATTCCCTCTGTGTGCCTCACTTGCTTTTCCTCCTGACTTGCTTTGTGTAGTATATATACCATGATATATTTGGCTAACAGAAAGATTTGATGCAGTGAGAAAAAGATAAATGGAAAGAAAAAAAGAGGGAGAAGGATCTTGCAGGTGTAGACTGAGAGAAGAAAGCTGAGGGAAGGAACAAGCTGACACAAGCAGTCAGCACAGAGCAAATTCTAACCTTGCAAMACTGCAGAAAAATTTCATTTCATRGAAAATGGGTTATTTGTCAGAGTTCTTTTAGCTGATGAAATTAATGACTACCAAACAATTCTTAGAGATAACAACAGTCTGGGTACTCTCAATTTTAAATTAATTTCCTTAGAAGTAGATTATTATTCTGTAAACCAAAAAATTGTTCCTGGGCAATAACTTAGTGCAGAACACAGCACTGCATGAGTAGAATTAGCATTTGCAGCACTAAGGACTCTTCTGGACGCTACAGTGTCTCCCTGAGCACGGCAGAGATGAGAACAATGGTGATTCCAGCCTTTTGAATGCCAACAAACCTAGCAGAGTGCCCATTATTCAGACCATCAGCTCATTGCTGCATTGAAACATATGAACAAATACAACTTTGAAGTTCTTTCATTTGAACTGTGATGACTACTGATAAGATCAAACCTCTTGGATGAGCTGGAGAAATTAAATATAAACTGATCCTAACTTGCAGTTAGGATAAAGAGGAGGATTTCAGCAGCTCCAAGCAGTACATGTAAAGGTTATGTAAGGTCATTTTCATTTTTCTTCATGTGCATCTTTTTCTTCTAAAGAGGTTCTTTAGAAGAAAAGCAAGGTTAAGTTTTCTCAGTGAAGACAAACAGAGAACACTGACAGTGTTCTATGGCTTTAAAAGGGGGAATGGCTTTGAAGAGCATTTCAAAAGATAACCTTTGAAAACTAAGCCATCTTGACTCTCTGGGAGCTTCTGCACGTACCTAATAGGAAATCCATTTGAGTCCAGAAACTGCACCCTTGCTTGGAAAGAGTTGATTCTCCCTTTCATCACACTTCCCCTTTACAGAAAGCTGGGCAGCCTGTGGATTCATTTAAAACATATCTCACTATTGTGCCTCTCAAAATACTTGCAAATTTATATTTATTCATTATCACATATAATTTCAAATAATTAAAACTACAGGCACATATTAGAAAAACAGGCACATGTAGAAAAACAAAAYGTAACACGGTATATCTATTCAACAAGGCTGTTCTTAGACTTACTAATGCTCTCAAGTCTGCAGTGATGTGGTTTTTGTCTGGTTTGATATGAAACAGCTCTATAAACATAGTCCATATCAAAAAGCTTCTCACTACTTGGACCTGAAGTGTCATTCTTCGTGCTCACACTGTTTCTCTTAAATCTAATAAAGAAAAATAAGACTGTGTTCATCCACGTTGATGAACAACAGCTTTAATTTTCCTGGTGAAATGTGACCTATCAAGTAATAAACACAGTATTGTGTAGGTATTATTGCCAATGGATGTTTGGAAAATAAGGAGTAGGGAAGGGATTGTGTTCTTATTTCCTGGATTACGCAAAAAGCTACTGTGAACATTCTAAAGAAGACACACTGTACTTGCGTATTTGGCAGTATTTTCTGCATGGGGAAAGAAAACACTTGATGATTCTCCACAGCTTGTACATGAAATTGGACAAAATAACTTTACTACTTCTTGAAGGATCTAGGAAATTACTGTATTAGCCCAGTTAATAACCTAAACAAAAACAACAAAAGATGCCAACTGTATTGCTTGGAAATGCTGCCCCTTCTCTCAATTGAGGCTCACTGAGCATCTGTCCCCAGTGTGGGGACATAGGCGGGTCACAGGGATAGTTCCATGTCTACAGCATTTGGAGAAGAGTCATCCAAAAAAATTAATACCCTCCACCTTCAGAGAAAATTCAATCAAATATAATGTTAATCAAAAAGCTCTTTTCCCAATCTGACCTCTTTCTCTTGATTAATTCAGTTGGGGAAACGGAGCTGGTTTGTTTTTCATGCCTAGCCCAACCTTCTCTTTGTTCTTCAGTTTGTGAATGTGTCAAATAAAATTAAAACTGACAGAGGCCAAGATTAAATCAAGCAAAATGTAAACATTGTCTTATTTGGCTGATGTAAAGCTTTCACCATAAAAAGCTTTTAGATAAATGAACTCAGCTATTAGAGTGCTGCAGCACTGAAACTTTGCTCCAAGTGTTTGAACTTTTCAGGGACACTGTCAGGTCAGCTTAGATTCAAAACCTAGTACATGGCTGGGATTCTGAAGCTGTCTAAGGGAATTACGTACCTGACTTCAGCTGAAAGTCAGTGTGTGGTGGGAAGTGAATTGACTTCCAGCAGAAATTTAATGCCTTTGAAAAGTCTATTAATGTCCTTGTAGAAAGAGGCTCATGTCCTTCATGGAGATAAATGAATGTAACTACTTTCACACCTACATACCAGCAAAGCATCTGATGCACATATTTTACAAACCCTAAACKAGCAAGAAAACCCTAAGAGCTACCTCCACTTATTTGATTGGATTTTGGTTAGCACCAGATTTCCTTTCAATATGCAATAATTATACTGTTCAATAATGATATTATTAAGTTGTGGTATAAAGCTAAATTTCAGCAAATTACTCCATCAGGGACTGTTAGTTTCTTCCTGTCTGGCTGCAAACTGCAGTTTAATCCATTGATTTTAGTGGTACTCCTGACCTCTTAAAAGCAGATTTYGAATCTCAATACATCCAAGGTTTCCGCCCAAACATTTTGCCTTAAATCTGCCACCCCCACATCTCAATAGCCACTATGAAAATTCATGGCAGGTAATAGCAAAACTCAGTACTTTTGAAAGCAGGTTTCTGTCCTGTTGACTGAGATTTTAGTATTAAGCAATAYGGCACTAAAATTTACACAGCTTTGAAAATACATCTCTATCTCATTTAATTCCTCATTGCTACTTTAAAAAATAATGCAAGAAATGTGACATTACCTGTATTTTTATTGTAACTTGGTTTTCACACATGATGGGCATTTGTCACTCCTATTTTGAATTCTGCTCTTTTTTTGGTATATGTAAGTTTGTATCTYCACTTGTTTTATGAACTTAATAACTTGACCCTACATTGTGAACAGGGCTTTTGGGGATTTCTCTCTTCAACGCCTTTAGAAAAAACAACTGTAGTAGTACCACAGGGCTGGAGTCAGATATTTCTCTCTCTGATCTTCAAAGTTTTATTTATCCACAGATATTCTCTAAGAATTCTACTGGTCTCCTTGGCAAAGCTACCTYATTCAATATTGAGTGTGGCTGCCAGAAAGGGAACCCAATGACAAAGCCAGAGGTCTTTTAGGGACAGGATGACATCATGATACAAGATGGCACAGGAACAGAATACTCCAGTCCTTCATCCCTTGCAATTGACATCTGAATARAGATGATTAGTGCGGCTATTCCCTCATTATCTTCAGTGGACATGAAATCCAACCACAAAATTGGTGCAGAGATCTTGCACCTGGCAGGCTTGGGTCAAGAGGAAGGCAGTGCTTGAGTGAGCAGGACAGGGCCGATCAATGAAAACAGAGCTAGTGTACACCAAAGCTCCCTCACAGCCTTGCCAAAYCTCTTGGATAGAATCTCTTTGATTTATTAGTACCTTGCTTTGATAACCATAGATGTTTTCAGGCCTATTGTTTCCTCTGTGGTGATGAGTAACCATRGCTTGTTACCAGAAAGAATGGAACAGAGCAACACAACTGTCCCATGTCTTGAAACCATCTGAAGACCCTCTTAATGACTGCTTAAGCAATGGCTAAGTCCTACACTATTTCTGCTGGTTGGCAGAGGAATATATTGGTAACATTGAGATCTTAGCGTTACAGGCAGYGAACAAAGGCACTTCTGAAGGAATTTGGAAAGGACTCTTCAGAGCAGTACTTTTCTCTTTTTGTATCCAAGTATTTTTTATTCCATGAGATTGAGATAAAGAAGGCCTTGGGACAAAACAAAACAAAACAAAAAAAATAGAAGTGTAACAATAGAATGGATGTTGGGTACTATAGTTTCACCCAAAATAACTCAGTGGCAATTTTTACTAACACATACCTCCCCCCGCCTCCCCCAACCAAATAAGACTTCCACAGCAGTCAGGGTTTTGGAGCTGATTCAGATTTTGCATGGGAAACACGTAAACACGAAGGGATATTTTTAAGGCTATTCCATTGCTGCACAGCTGAGTTGACGGGTATCAGACTTTGGACTAATGACTTCAGCTTGAAGCTTTTCTTGTAACTAAAGTCAGCAGGATTTGACTTTAAATTAGAATTTTTACCTCTAATAATGTCAAAAGAGCTTGCCATTTTTTCACTATTTAAGTACATTTGTTGAATATCTGGGRTTAGCTTATTACATGAAAGGATTCCAAACTTTTATTTTTAAATACAAATATTGATAAAATGAGTATTAAAATGTTATTCTGTAGTATTAGCAACRTAAGTATAAGAACTTTTGGCCAGAAACAAGAAAAAGGGTATTATATTAATTCCTAATACAAATTAAACCAAAGAGGCTATCTGCATTGTTCTGTATGAGAGAAAATGAGAACTACAGAATGGTGTTCTAAATTTCCTCTAATTGCAGTATTCTGAAAGGCCTTCCACCTGTGACAAAACATTTAGTCCTGATGCATACACTATACTTTCCAGGGAATCAGGTCCTTTGTGACCAATTCAACTTATTTACACTCTCATATATTGTTTAGCTTTAATGTGCTGTATGGTTAAAGGAGAATCAGGAATTCAGCCCAGTCTTCCTTAAATTCTTGTTAGACTTTATGTGAATTTAATACCTTATTTCCCCAGCTACCTAATACAAAGGATGATTTCACTGTCATTAAAGATGACTTTTTTCCCATTTTCATGTTCTTCTCACTGTAACTATTCTTCTCATTGAAATTTTCTTTTGAGTCATAATGAACACTGAGAATTTCACTGAGAAAAATGAGAAGCTAAAACATTTTTTATTTCCCCAATCAAGACCCTGTCATTATCATCGCTGAAAAAGAGAAATAGGTAAAGAATGACAGAGTTACATGAAAGAGAAAAAGGACACTGCCAAAGTGATTCTGTGATCACATCCATTTGCAATAACAYTCTGAATGCTGGCATGGCAATCTAATAGCATACTAAAGCCTGTTGTGTAAACTCAGTTACTTGTTGCATTACACAATGCTGATGCTTSAGTCATAATTCAGGTAAATAAGAACAGAAATTTGGGAATTTGATTGCTATGTGGAATAATTCATCCCACTCATCAGTATGTCAATTTTCAATTTAATTTGGTATTTTTGAAACAGAAAACCACAGTGATTCAATTCTATAAGAAAAAGTATCCTTGAAAAAAAAATAATGTTTTGMAAATGAAGAAAACAAAAGTGGGATAAATTTTTATTCTATCATTTCTGACAGTATCCTCTTATAGGGAAGACTAAATTAAATTCTAAAGSCAAAATTCTCTCCTCATTCACATTAAAATAGCTCCAGAATATACCTGCCAACTTTCATATTATTTTCCATTAAATAAGATCTGCAATATCACAAAGGCTGATTCATCTYTTGGTCTCAGATAAGTTACTTCCAGGAAACAGGCATGATGAGAGTAAGACAGAAAGCTCCAAACAACCTTTGAATTAAGAATGTGTTCAGTAGACACACTTGGTTTCTTCCCATCCCACAGATTTCTTATCCTGAAATCTGTATTTCACCTAAATGAAGAAGAATAGGACATGGAAATTTGATCTGAAAGTTAAATTAAAATCCTCCTGCAGTAACCTGCTTGAGGAGCTGAAGGAYGGGGAAGAAGGAAGGCCAGGACTGGTACAATGCAAAAACATTAAGTGGCAGCCCCAAAAAAATGGCAAGAGACCTTCCATCAGGAGGTAGGCCCTTCACGTCATCCCACCCTCTGGTGGCACTCCCTCCAGCTATTTAATTTGATTCACATTTCAATACCTGTTGAAATGGTCCACACTGTTWCAGTGTTGTTACTGTTATAATTTTACCTATCTACACTTGTCTCTGCCAGTCTGTTGTTCATAATTGCTAGGGCTCCAACCCCRCCAGAGAATCCATTTTGTTTTGAATTAGAGCCCATTTGCCTTGGGTATCCATTAGCAGTTTCTGACAGCTGTTTCTGCATGATGGCCAGTGAGACTTTATTGGAGGCCAGGAAGTCTTTCATGGAGATCATCTCTCCTGACAGACGGCGTCCGTCTGTGTCACTCTCATTGACAGCGTCAGTCTCGATGGAGATGTTTCTCCGGCTGCGCACATTTCCTGGCATTACCACATTCCTGCGTGAATGAAATAATCTTCTTTGGCATCTGTGGCAGCACTTGCAGGCCAGCTTCTTTAATATCCAATTTATGGACTGCTTGATGACAATAGAGATCACATTAAATAAGGAATAGATGCAGCACACCCCCATGAGTATGAAGACAAAGTTGCCAAAGCGATAAAGGCCTTGGCTCTCATACCTGATGTTCTGGCTACTGACCAGATCACCAAAACCAATGGTGCTGAAGGCCACAAAGCAGAAGTAAAGTGAGTCAAAGTAACTCCACCCTTCAATCGGTGTGTACATTGCAGAGGCACAGCAGGAAATGATGAGGGATGCTACACATAAAATCAGCATAACATAGTACACAGAGGGCTTCCAGCCTGCCAGGCTGTCCACCTCAGAGGTCCCCGAGCCCCGCCGGCCATTGTGAGGGAGAACCCCTTTTCTCCTCAGCTGTCTCTCGTGGCAGGACTTCATGACGTAAGCTATGACAGTGATCAAGCGCTCCAGGAACAGGTTAAAGAACAAAATGGTCCCTGCACATCCTATAAGGCCGTAAAATATCAGAAAAATTTTGCCTCCAACGGTGGCTGGGGTGGTCATACCAAACCCTGGAAAACAAAACAGAACAGTTGAAAAAAATAAACCTCTAGGTAGCATGTTAGGACTTCTATCACATGCAAGATCGATGAACTGGTAACAAATCCCTCTGGTACAGCTCAGCTTCAAGTAAAAAACATTCTCCCAAGCTGTTACCCACTTGTGCTTGACTATGTCTGAGCCATAAGGGGAAGAAACACATGCCAGCATTTCCTCCAGAATCAGAATAAAACAAAAAGCAGAACAAAATATACAGGAAGGAAAAGAGAGTTTAGAGGAGGTCTGAACTTTGGTCTGGTTGCTAGGTTCACTCTTCTTTGTGCCTAGGATTGCTTCCAAGCTTCAGGGTTATCGCACCCACTCTGTTCTCTCTGATGCTGCTCTGCATCATCGGTTTGTCACAGGGGTGGYTCTTGCCTTCCAGAAATCCATCCACACCAAATCTTTGTTACAAAAGGTGCAATTTCTCTGAGGCTTTTGACTCCTGATGTTAGTGCAGGTGGCACATCATCCAACACTCAGCACACACTGTAGCCTGGCCATGGAAGCCCAGGTGGSAGCACACACCAGAGGATGCAGCCCATGGCAAAATCAGCAGCCCCTCATGAGGGTCCCAGTAGGAGTTAAAGATGCCCTGCATCTGAGCCTAATGTCTTTCACCCATTATTAACCCATTATTTTTAAATCATCATTACTGAAGTTTTCCTATTTCTCAGGGTCCCACTTCACAGTTCRTCAGCATGTGGATCTTATCAAACTGTCTCCTCTGGTCTGACTCCCTGTCATGAGATTTTTCAGGCCAGAGGTGCTTCRGTCTACAAACACTTCCCATCCTAAAGCCTGAATATAGTAATATTGTTTTAGTTAAAGCTGTTGATAAGACAAGCTTSCTTTAATAAGATATCACTAAAGAATAAAGGGCATGTCCAGAGCATCATTGAGCAAATTGGAGTAACACTCATGATAGATCTTTGCTGGTGTTTTATTAAGGTTAATAAAGGATTACACAATTTACCTGCTTAGCAAAAACATTCTTGTTGAGAGGTCAGAAAAAAATCCCAAGAGACACTGTTTTTTGTTTCTTTTTGAAACTATGAGACGCCGATTRTGAAATAGACATTAGGCTCTAAGAAATAAAGGAAAATGTAGTCAGTGTGATACACTTGTGCTTCAAAGACAAGTGTGAAAAGACCACGTTTGCAACAGTGCAGAACTGCACCCCTCTTCCCTTCACTGGCACCCTGCTACCAGCACAGATTCCTCTCTAACACTGGTCCTGCCTCATGCTGTGAATGACATCCCACACCTTCACCCCTCCAGCACAACCCCCACTAATGACAGCTCCAAGCGTGGGCTTTCCAGGGCCTCTGCATTTCTGCCTGCATCCACAATCAAACATCAAGTGGTCCTACAGGAGGCTCCAGCCTCCTCATTAAATTTCTGTGCTAGGGAGAGCTCGACTGCAGCTCTGTGGTGTGGAAAAAAGCACAAGTGACAAACCACRCAGACAAAATGCTTTTCACGATAAGAACTTTTTGCTGTTGTTCCCTTTGGCATACAAATATTTCCTCCCCCACCTTTCCTTTCTYTTCCATGACTTGATCCCTCTATAATTCTAATTTTAATGCTTCTTTTCTGTGCAGGCTGGTTTATACGCAAATCATGACCTCCACCCTGTGGACAGACATGCAAAAACAAATGGACAAGAGGAATCTCTCAGCAGCTGGGGGGTTGTGCCCAAAGCACCTGTGGGGACAGAAGTGAGGGGCTGCCATGCCCCTGGCCCACCCTGTTCCTTGAAGAAAAGAAGCAGCTGCAGGCTGGCCAGAGATGGAAAGGTGGGAAGCCCCTGGTGCAGGGTGGACAGCATTAAGGACTGGCAGGCATCTCCCACAGCATAAAGGAAATGCCCTGSAAAGAGAAACGCAGTTAAGGCTCACATTCCCCGGGTGGCATTATGCCTTTGGGCTGCTTCCCACAGATCCCTCTTGGAATCCTGCTGGTGGCGTCAAGGCTGCAGTCTGAACTCTTCAGGTTGGTTTGTTTAGTTGACTGGATTTTGTTGCTAGGTCTGTTGTGAGAGCCACTAGCACTCAATAGATATTGCAGGGAATCACGGTGAGCTATGAACAAATGACTGCGTGAGCAATTAGAGCACCAATGTGACCCACAGAGCACAACACTGAAAGAGCAACAAGTTACATTGCASATTGGGAAGCAAATGCAGAACGAAATGATGAAATCGTTTGATGAAAATAGTCAGCAGTGGCTGACACTTGGAGACCATTTGAAAATACAAAATTGCTTCTTGTGATGAAGAATAAAAACAGGAAGCAACTGCAGGAAAAAATGCTGGTGATTTTATGGTATGGGAGAATGCTGATAAGGTTTAGTGAATTTTATTTTACAAGTTGGGTGACATTTCTTGAAAGCACTGTTTCAAGTAGCAATGGAGATCATAGTTAATCAAGTAGAAATCAGATAATTCTGAGTTGGGAAAACAGAATGGTTTTAAGAAGTGTTAGAAACACTACTAGTAGTAGAAACACTACTAAGAAGTGTTACAATCGATTTGTTAGACATATCTGCAGATATGGCACTAGATTATCACCACTGATAGAAATGCATGACGAATCCTAACTTTACCAGCCCAGCAATGAAGGCAGCCTTCTTAGTAAAAATTTCAGGGTACTAGYTTGAAATTAGTTTCATACTGATTTGCCTGTGTCCCATTATCCATTGACCATGATAAACTACTSTAATCTTTTCTAATATTCAGCTGAACTGGGGAAGTATATTCCTTATAACTTCAATTTTCCTTCGAATACTGTGGGGTTCTTTTTTAACCTATTGCTTAAGCAAAAATTCAGATTTTTTTTAAGGAATATTCATATCAATTCTGAATTTTCTGTAGCAGATGTATTTTTGAGAAGTTGGAGGGAACTTAAACTCCAGATAGAGTCAGAAAAMGTTTTCTAAACACACCTCCTATGTGAAACAAATTTTTAGATTTTGTTTTGGCAGCAAAATTTCAATTATGAAGTCTGTTACTGCAAAGCACTCTAAAATTCACCTGTGTGTTCAGGTTATATTGTGTGGATATTCCAAAAGGACACACATATATAAAAACTAATTAAAAAGTGAAATCACATTGACAGTGTAATATCATCACACTACATTATTTTTTTAGTAAGTACACTGGGCATAAATGGAGAAAAGCAAGCAGCTGTAATTCTTATCAATAGCCAGTTTGATAAGAAGGACTGAGGTTCAGCAGGAAGTTCTCCTAAAGAAGACTCCTCCAACAGACAGTAAACAGTGAATAATATCAAGCATATATTAGTCTCAATCTAACAGTAAAATAGCATCAGCTGCCTATTCCAGGCTAACATTAGGTCATTTCATCTTTTCTGTTGGGAACTGCTCCAGTGTTGCCAGCTGTAAGTGTTTCTCCTGTAGCATTAAACACACTCACCATTCTCTGTCTGGTGACACGTTCAGCATTTAATGTTTGAATTCTGGATRTCCTGACATTCACAGGTTACATTAATTAAAACTTCAGTTCTCATTTCCTGGTGCACCTGGTGCCATGAAAAAATATGAGAAACAGTTCATCAGCCCTAATCCCTCATAAATGAAGCCTGGAGCACCTCATACAGTGAGTGTATAGGGAGACTGGGACAGACATAAAAATTTCAGTTAATTTTTGATCATGTGATTGGGTCTTTCTTTTGTTCTCCAAAATATCTCTCTTTTCTGAGAGTTCTCATTTCCTTTTTGAACATTTGCAGTTCACTGCTTCTGCTTCCCACAAAGAGGAAGTGGGTAGAAAGAGGGGGCAACACTATAGCAACAATGAGTCATTGTGATGTTAGAAATATAAATATCAACACAAAACAGTGTTCCAGTTTAGCCTAAGATCAGAGCTCTTTGTGATGTTGTGTCTGTATTCCTAATGTATTTTATATTTATTTCTTTTGCTCTGWCAGCTCTGTTTTAGACACAACTCACTGGTGAAATCATGAATTTCCAGTGAAATAGACACTGGACAATAATTGAGGTTCACGGAAAGTGTGAACCAAACTAAATAGGACAAAGACTTTCAACTGCAGTGAAAAAAACCAAGAAAATAGTAACTAGTAAAGAGAAATACAGGAAGTCTTAGATATCTGCAAAGATGCTGACCCTCTTTCTCTCAGACAYTCTGTACTGAACTATCTACATACGGATGTTTTGTAATTCTAAAAGAGACAGCAGAAACAATTCTAACAGAAACTCTACTTCAAGGACTTCATTGGGAAAATGTCTTGTACTTTGCACTGTTCCATTAGTGGGCAGACACCAATAATTCGGCAAAATTCACTTCTGCCATGGTATCCTATTCTGGTGCTCTCTGAGCGGAATGAGTAGTCCTAACAAAACTACTTCTGGTGGAATAATTCTCACCTGTAGGGACTCCTGGAGGAACAGTKAAAGGACTCTCAGATCTTGTCACATCATTGCCCTTACGACACTGCTGCATCAGCAAGCATGTAAAAGTGTCCTGTTCTAGAAAGGAAGGAGGGTATTAAGTCCTTCTTTCAAGAAAGAGAAGAAAAAGACTCATTTCTGTGAAGACTTCCACTGTATGAGAGGACACATCCATGGAGGCAGGCATGGTGTCATCACAGCTACCTGACAGCAACAAACCTGCAGTTGGGTCCAATTTCTGATATGAAAAGAATCTCTAGTGTTGTTGATTTTGTTGAGTCTATGCAGAAAACCAAACACACACACACACACGCATGCACGCAGACACCACTGATTTCCCCTCAGTGGAAGAACAGCATCTGAACTGTGTGGCTGGCAGGTGAGATACACAGCCATGCATGTTGTCTCAAACATTAATTTCAACATGTTGATCCTCTCTCTTATGAGGAGGGGAGAAGGAGCTAGCCAGGAAACTTTCCTTGACTGCTACAATTATTTGAAAAAAGATTATTTTATCACAACAGCGCTGGGGTGTGGTAGT